TTTCTCATTAGGTGGCCAAAGTCTTTGAGTTTCCTCTTCAGGATTTGGCCTTCTAAAGAACTGTCAGGGTTGATCTCCTCTAAGACTGACCGGTTGTATGGCCTTGCAGTCCAAGGGACTCAATGCAGGAGTCTTCTCCAGCACCAGAGTTCAAAGGCCTCCATTCTTTGGCGCTCAACCTTCCTTATGGTCAACCTTTACAGCCATCCATTGCAACTGGGGAAACCAGAGCCTTGACTATTCACACATTTGTTGGCAGGGTGATGTTTCTGCTTTTTAGGATGCTGTCTAGATTTGCCATAGCTTTCCTCCCCAGGAGGAAGCGTCTTTTAATTTCTGGGCTGCACTCCCCATCGGCGCTGATCTTTGAGCCCAGGAAAATAAAATCTGTCACTACCTCCATTAGTTCCCCATCTATTTCCCAGGAACTGAGAGGGCTGGATGCCATGATCCTAGTTTTCTTAATGTTGTAGGAATCTTACTTCTGTTGTTTTTATCCAATGTAGGCAACTGAAATCACCACTCGGTAGTGAAATTCACTTTGGATCAGTTACCTTCTCTCTCTCTCAGCTGTGGTCAACTATGCAACTCCATGAGCTTAACTCAAATACGAAAATGGGAAGGAAGAGGAAATGCTAGCTTATCATACTCACTGACCCATATTATCACAGTCTCCCTTAAGGACGTAACTCAAGGGCTACCTATACTAATAACAACACAGATATTTTCCAAGACAATCACTGTTTTAGAATGCCTTGGCATGACCACACTTGAAATACTGCATCCAGTTTTGGTCGCCACAATATAAAAAAGATGTTGAGACTCTGGAAAGAGTGCAGAAAAGAACAACAAAGATTATTAGGGGACTGGAGGCTAAAACACACGGAGAATGGTTGTGGGAATTGGTTATGTCTAGTAATTTAATGAAAAGAAGGACTAGGAGTGACATGATAGCAGTCTTCCAATATTTGAGGGGCTGCCACAAAGAAGGGGGGATGCCAACTTATTCTCCAAAGCACCTGAGTGCAGGACAAGAAGCAATGAATGGAAACTAATCAAGGAGAGAAGCAACCTAGATCTAAGGAGAAATTTCCTGACAGTTAGAACAAGTAACCAGTGGAACAAATTGCCTCCAAAAGTTGTGAATGCTCTAACACTTGAGGTTTTTAAGAACAGGTTGGACAACCATTGGTCTGGTGGTGTAGGGGTTCCTGATTGAGCAGTGGGTTGGAGTAATAGACCTCCAAGATCCCTTCTAAATCTGTTATTTTGATTTGTCCTTAAGTTGATCCTTCCGGACTTCCAATAATGACCCCATCAACTGCTGCAACTAAGTCCATCCACCTTGTTACTGATTGTCCTCTTCTTCCTTTTTCCCCCACACCATTCTCAACATCAAAGTATTATCCAGAAAGCTCGGTATTTAGGCTGTTACGAATGCTGGCGTGCATTTTGAGTGCATACATCTGCTCTCCTTGGGAAGGAAGGGTGAGGCAGCCACAATTCTAAATGCACTAACAATTCCCTTGAGACATGGGGAAGTAATTGCATTGTTTTTTCCCCCCCAGAATATATGCCTTCTCTGAAACTCCCCAAACTTGCAAAGTGTTTTGAGCTATTCAAACTTTGTGCACGGGGTTGCCAATTTGACACAGAAAATTTAGACCTATTGTAATCTCACACCAATTTCCTAGGTTCCAGCAGCCGGGAGAGCGAATTCCAAGAAGGGGGTGTGTCAAGGGGAATTTTCTCTGATTTTGAACAATAGCAACCTTCCTCTTTGGAAGTAGCGTTAAATGCCCTTCCTTTGTTTGCTTCCAGCTTAACCTTGTGGGTAACGGTTAGAGAGATTTACTGTTTCCACCACAAATTATATTTTTGCAAGTTTCTGCAATTTATAGGATGAAAATGGCACATTGCCGACTGACGATGCCTTGATTCAGCTTACGTGAGAATCAACACTGCCAAGAGAAAAGATTAACTAAAAAGTAAAGGTAAAAGTTCCTTTCGTACATATGTATTAGTTGTTCCCGACTCTAGGGGGCAGTGCTCATCTTCATTTCAAAGCCAAAGAGCCGGCCCTATCCGAAGACATTTCTGTGGTCATGTGGCTGGCATGACTAAACACAGAAGGCGTGCAGAACGCTGTTACCTTCCCACCAAAGTGGTCCCTACTTTTCTACTTGCATTTTTACATGCTTTCGAACTGCTCGGTTGGCAGAAGCTGGGACAAGTAACTGGAGTTCACTCAGTTACGCAGCACTAGGGATTTGAACCGCCGAACTGCCGACCTTTCTGATTGACAAGCTGTGTCTTAGCCACGGAGCCACTGTGTCCNGACTAGAACTCACTGTCTCCTAGTGATTGGCCCAAAAATCACCCAGCTGCAAATTTGGATGCTTGAAAACCAGGATGTATTTACAATGGTTGCAACACCCAAGGCCATTTGTGACCTTCCCGGCCGTCTTCTGGCACGGAAAATCTTTGGGAAAACCAGCTTCACTTAATGACTACCTGATTCAATTAACAACTGCAGTGATTCACTTAAGAACCATGACAAAAAGATAGTAAAATTGTGATCCACTGAAAAACTACCTTGCTTTGAAACATGAATTCTGTTCCCAAACTGTGGTCACAAGTTGGGAACTCTCTGGACAGGTAATCCTTGACTTATGATCACAATTGAGCCCAAAATCTCTGTTGCTAAGTGAAACATTTCTTAAGTGAGTTTTGCCCCACTTTACGACTTTTCTTGCCTCAGTTGTTAAGTGAATCATTGCGGTTGTTAAGTTAGTAGCATGGTTGTTAAGTGAATCTTGCTTATCCATTGACTTTGCTTGTCAGAAGGTTACAAAATGGGATCACATGACCCCAGGATACTGCTACTGTCATATGTCAGTTACCAAGCATCTGAATTTTGATCACATGTTCGTGGGGATGCTGCAATGATCATAAGTCACTTTTTTCAGTGCCGTTGTAACTTTGAACCATCACTAAATGAACTGTTGTAAGTCCAGGATTACCTGTATTTATTTATTTATTTAATGTAAATATCCATATGGCGGTCCAACTCAGACCACGTGACTTTCAACAGGGTACAAAAGGACAAAGAAATAAAATCACAAATTGACCAATTTTTAAAAAAACAACTGGTGATTGGAATTGAAATCCAAGTAGGACACGGTGGCTCAGTGGCTAAGACGATGAGATTGTAAATCAGAAAGGTTGGCAGTTTGGCGGTTCAAATCCCTAGCATCACGTAACGGAGTGAGCTCCCGTTACTTGTCCCAGCTTCTGCCAACCTAGCAGTTCAAAAGCATGTAAAAATGCAAGTAGAAAAATAGGAACCACNTTTTTTGGACAAAAAACAGGCCATTTTTGGGAGGTCTGTAGAGTGCAAAAACTTTTTTTTAAAAAAATTGCCTCTTCAAAATCTTGGTGTATCTTATGTTCCGGTGTCTTATACTCCGAAAAATACAGTAATTTAAGAAACAAATACTTTTCTAGGATCAATGCCATCGAAATCAACAATTTAATTACACACAGGACTGTACTCTTAAACTGTCTTAAATGACACCTATCGATAATGCCGTAAACTTCAAAATTAGCCATGGGTAAAGCACTCTGCCTGTTACGACTTGAAATGATGCACTGTACAACAAACGTTTTCCAATGGTTTATTTTCTAGGAAATCCCACGTCGTGACATTTTTTTTTTCAGTTAAAAATTCCTGCAAAGACAAAACAAAATACAGAATGGTTAACTTTCCAAGTCATTAAGGACATGGGCTCATAGAAATTCTTCCCTGGAACCTGCCCTATTTGACTTTATCTTAAAATAAAATGTTTGGCTGCAGCTCTATGCTACATCTGAAAATATGCTCAGAAGCACCGAAAAACAAGAGAGGGGGAGGCTTTCAAAGGGAAAAATGTTGAGATTGCCTTCTGATTACAGAATAATAGAGCTGAAAGGGACTTTGGAGGTTTTCTAGTCCAACCCCCTCATAAGCCGGGAATCCTATACCATTTCAGGCAAATGGTTGTCCAATCCCTTCTTCAAAACCTCCAGTGATGGAGAAACCACAATTTCTGGAGGCAAGTCATTCTATTGATTAATTGTTCTGTCAGGAAATTTCTCCTTAGTTCTGATAAATGGGTGTTTTATAAGAATTACTTTTTGCGAGATGAATGGCTATATACCGTATTTTTCAAAGTATAAGACGCACCAAGATTTTGAAGAGGTAAATTTTTTAAAAAAATTTTTGCACTGCATACAGTACCTCTGAAACCCTCTGCGCGCCTCATTTTTTGTAAATAATGGGGCATGCTCCTGGGGGTTGGGGGGCAAAAATGAGCCTGTTTTACAAAAAAAGGGCATGCATACCCTTTAGGAAGCTTGCAGAGTGCTCCTGGGGGCAAAAAATGGCCTGTTTTTCACTTGTTTTTGCTCTCCCCAGCCCCCAGGAGCACTTTGCAGGCCTCCCAAACTTTCTGCATGTCCATTTTTGTGAAGGGGGCAGCGTTTCAGTAGGCCAAAAAAGCTGTATTCAGTGTATAAGATGCACCCAGCTCTTCACCCTCTTTTTTTGGGGGGGAAAGAGGTGCGTCTTATACTCTGAAAAATACGGTAAACTTTATAAACAAACAAGCATTTTCACCAAGGCATATCTTTTGGGAATAACGTGTCTCCCAATGACATCCATGATGTGCTATCAAACAAAACAGAAAAGAAAGATGCATTATCACAGCTTCCAGACTTACTTGGAAACAATTCCATCATTCTTTGCCAGTCGCAGAATTGAATCATCAGACTCCCCCTGAAAAACAGTTTTGTAGTTAGGTAAGATGAAGAAATTGAATTCACACCCTGAATTTCAATCTGCAAAATGCTTCGGTGAATTTGGGAAGTTGTCCAAAGGAAATTCATTGGCAACTAAAAGGACAAGTTTCTAATATTAAGAATCAAGTACTATCGCATACTTATTTGCTAAGTTTTTAAGGTTAGAAAACGGCCGAGATTGAAAACCTATAAAGAATTTATAATAGTCTAAAATTAGAATATAGAACTAGTATTTGTACAGTGAAGGTAAAGCATTCCATAACAAAACATTGACACTGAAAAGGTTTGGTCCTGAAGTGGTTTGATCTTGAAAGAAGTCCATTCTAAGGTTTGTCTGTTTCTTGAACTATTTGAAAGGTGGTTTGTTTGAGGTTACAACATTCCATGATGGAACATTTTATTCCTGAATGTTATTTTGTTTTATTATGTATGTATGTATGCATGCATGTCCCACCTTTTAGTATTTTTACAAATAACTCAAGGCAGTGAACACATCCGACACATTTTTTTGTGTCTTTTAATGACCCCAGTGGAGTCGGAGTGTTTATTGGCTGGGTGCCCTTCCTGTTGCCAATGCAGAGTTTGCAGAGAGAAAAATATCTGCCACTACCTAGGATTGAACTCACAGCCTCCTGATTCTGAGGAAAGAGCTCCACCTCTAGGCCACTGTACCACTCAGTGAACATAGCTGACACATATCCCTCCTATTTTCCCCACAACAACCCAAACAAAGTTGGTTGGGGGGAGGGGGTCTGGCTCAAAGTCAGCCAGTTGGCTTTCATGGTTAGGGCGTGACTTAAACTCACGGCCTCCCACTTTCTAACCTGATGCATAAGAGCTGTGGTGGCACAGTGGTTAGAGTGCAGTACTGCAGGCTACTTCTGCTGACTGCCAGCTGCCTGCAATTTGGCAATTCGGATCTCAACAGGCTCAAAGTTGACTCAGCCTTCCATCCTTCCAAGGTGGGTAAAATGAGGACCCAGATTGTTAGGGCAATATGCTGACTCTGTAAACCGCTTAGAGAGGGCTGTAAAGTGGCATATAAGTCTAAGTGCTATTGCTATTAACCACTAGACCAAACTAGCTCTAATATTATGCAGTATGGTATTCAAAATTTCTTGCCTGCATTCTTTCTGTAATACAAACAAAATGCTGACAATTTATTTGTGTAATATACCCACTGCTCTTACTAATTTCCGTATTCAGAAGACAACCATCCCTAAAACTAAAGTCTTCACTTTAATTGAATTGCTACAAGGAAAATTGGAATGGATGTAAACATGTATAAAGACAATGAATGAAACTACCCATCCTATATTTATAAACTATTCAGAAATAGGCAAGCTCTTAGTCATTGGAAAACAATTAGACTTACCATCCGACGGATTGCTCCACAAATGGCATATGCTTTGAACTGGCCATTCACTCTGCCTGTGGCTTTGTCAACCTGCCATTGGAATTAAGAGGGCTCAATTAACTGTTACACAATCATAACTGCAAGCTGAAAGATTGGAGGTATGAGGCACAGAATATATTTATTCATTTTATGTTTTATAGATCTAACCAGTTTGACAACCAAGCAAACTCCAATCCCATCCTGAACAAATGGGTTTAAAGGAAAAGATGCATTTACTGAGCTAGGGTGGAAAAAAAATCCCATTTATTAAAGAATATTTTTCATTACTGCTATTCCAAGGCACATCGAAATGAAAGAGAAAAAAGGAAGAATTTGAAGTAATTTTAAACTTTTAAAAGAAACGTGAAACAAAATGATGATCTCATCCTCCTTTAAGTAATATTTTGTTCTAACAATATTTATTCTCTTTCTCTCATTGCTAGCTTTCAGTTGTATTCCGAAAGTTTTTGATTAACAGTTGTAACGTAACAATCAAGCTCTGGTTTTGTTGGCCTGCATTAGAAAATACAGCTTAATGCCTAATGCCCATACATCTGGATCTATCACCCCTAATGCCCATACATCTGGATCTATCACCCCAAAATAAATACAAATATGTTTGACTATGCAACTGCAACTAGCTGTTTATTTTATTTGAAAAACTGGTAAGATTTCAACTTGGAATTACAGATATTTTACTTACTTCTGCAACATTTATTTGGATGGAAGCATGGTCTTTAGCACCAATTATCCGATTGCTAGCAGAGCTGAAGGGAAAGAAATACATAAATAGAAGAACTTAAAATCAGACACTGATTTAGAAAAAAAATGTTCTGTTATCTTTCTAGATAACTCTCAGCATGCAGCATCAATTCCATTTCTTGACATGCCAATTTACCACTCTTTTAGCAGAAGTTCCTACACAATAAACACACACACACACACACCTCAGAATCCCTCTTATTAAGATGTTGTAGGAGGGCAACTGTACTAATCTACTGTAAGAAAAACCAAAAACCTCTTTTCTAACAAATTTTATTAAACACATTTTCATAAGCTGCAGTTTATGTTTTATACCTTTTAAAGAAATATATTAGTCAGAAATTTCAGGTGCCAGATTCTTCCTTATAATATTTTTAGTTGTAAATCATGCATATCTACTTGAATAACACAAATCACTGTGTGCGCACATGTAAATGCACCAGAATAAAACACCATGCCCAATTAAGACACATTTAAGATTAAATTATAATTTGGGTTAAAATCATGAACCAGAAAGCTACTGAAATGTTTTTCCTGAGAAGGAAAGTTTTTCATCTACAGCAGAGCATTCATTTGGGTATAAAGGTAAACCCAGATTCCAATGTATTTTCAGTTAGCAATTCTCGCTTCCAGAGTGCCCGCACAATATTGAAAACTTTTACTTCCATTTAAAAGTAATTACAATTTTATTTTATAATCTAAAATTGGACAAACTATTAATCTTAAGCTATAACTGATATAAATAAGGTATTTTCAAACAATAATTTATGAAGTATGATTTTCTCTCATCTTAAGTAAACTAACTAGTGGTTAAGGCATCAGGCTAGAAACTAGGAGATTGTGACTTCTAGTCTCGCTTTAGGCATGAAAGCCAACTAGGCGACTTTGAGCCAATGCCCAGGAGACAATAATTTCTAAGCCTTCCTTGGGAAGTAAAGCCAGCTGGATGACCTTAGGCCGCTCAGTCCAATCCACCTCACAGGGTTATTGTGGGAAAAATTAAAGAAGGAAGGACTATAACCTATGTTTACCATCTGGGATTATTTCAAAGAATGAGGGCAGGCTAAAAACATCTAAATAAATAAAACGTACTTAAAATGTTCCCCCTCGCACATATGTGCTAGTCGTTCCCGACTCTAGGGTGTTGTTCTGTTTCAAAACAAAAGAGCTAACGCTGTCCAAAGATGACTGTGTGGTCATGTGGCGGGCATGACTCAATACCGAAGGCGCACAGAACGCTGTTACCTTCCCACCAAATGTGGTTCCTATTTTTCTACTTGCATTTTAACATGTTTTTGAACTGCTAGGTCGGCAGAAGCTGGGACAAGTAACGGGAGCTCACTCCGTTACGCAGTGCTAGGAATTAGAACTGCTGACCTTTGTGATCGACAAGCTCAATGTCTTAGCCACTGAGCCACAACGTCCCTAAAAAGTACCTAGTGGCTATGGTGGAAAACAAAGATTAGTTTAGTTAAGGTTCCTTCGCACCACTGAAACAGAGAAGCCTGGCGGTGTAGTTCAGTGGTTCCCAACCTTTTTTTGGCCATGCCCCACCTAAGCATCTCTAAAATCCCGATGCCCCCCCCACCTGTGACACATAATTCTTACTTTACTAAAAACTCTACTCTCGTGGAGGAAGCCTAAAAGGCCATTAACTTGGTTTAAACAAAGTTTAAATAGCCTCCATTAAAAATCAAATTGCCCCCCACGTTGGGAACCACTGGCTTTAGTTGTAAATATTAGGCCTGATACTGCTGGTTTCTTTCATTCATGGAATAACATAAACAAATTGTCCCAAGCTTGCTTTGTTGGGCCATCTGAACATGCTGCAATGACTTCTGGCAAAAATCATACAGGGGGAGGAAAAAAGAACAAAGCCAACTGTGATTGGTTCAAGTTAAGGAGGTTTTCCTAGGTACCGAGAGGATGCTGAGCTAAGCTTGCAAGTAAATTGCCTAACACGTGTAGCAGTGAGAAGTCTTTGGATGCTGTCTGAGTTTGGTTGCTTTCTTACAGATGTTTCATGGAGGGAAGTATGCAGTGGAATACCCCAAGGCTCTGTTTTGGGCTCAGTACTCTTCAACATCTTCATCAATGATTTNTAAAAGTTCCTTTCGTACATATGTATTAGTTGTTCCCGACTCTAGGGGGCAGTGCTCATCTTCATTTCAAAGCCAAAGAGCCGGCCCTATCCGAAGACATTTCTGTGGTCATGTGGCTGGCATGACTAAACACAGAAGGCGTGCAGAACGCTGTTACCTTCCCACCAAAGTGGTCCCTACTTTTCTACTTGCATTTTTACATGCTTTCGAACTGCTCGGTTGGCAGAAGCTGGGACAAGTAACTGGAGTTCACTCAGTTACGCAGCACTAGGGATTTGAACCGCCGAACTGCCGACCTTTCTGATTGACAAGCTGTGTCTTAGCCACGGAGCCACTGTGTCCCTAAAGATTAACTAGGTAGGATTAACTAGTTAAGCGAGGCTGTATTGCCACTTTTTCACAAAAGTTGCAGCTGTTGGACCAGCATACCTGGACAGTGAGAACCTGGGAAGGCACCTGGTGTAACAAATGTTGGCAGAAGTTGCCAAGGGTGTTTCTCAGGTTTTTCACAGACAACATTCCAGTTTTGGGAGAGGTCCAGACTCCAGAGATGACTTTTTTTTTCGAATGACCCAAAGCTCTTGTTATCGTCAAAACAGTTTGGTGGGACTGTGTTTTCTGGAAAGACTTCTTGGCCAAGAAAAGGGACAATGAATTTTTCTCTAGGGGGGAAATTATATTTATGGAGGGCTGAAGCCTTCTCTTTTTCATTCATGTTTTACAGTTAGACGTCAGGAGTATTAGAATAGAATAACAGAGTTGGAAGAGACATTGGAGGTCATTTAGTCCAACCCTCTGCTCGAGCAGAAGACCCTATACCAATGATGGCAAACCTTTTTTTCCTCTGGTGCCAAAAGTGTGTGTGTGTGACAGCATGCATGTGTGTGCCAACACCCATAACGCAATGCCCTCCTGCTTGGGGGATGCGTGTTGCACCCCCGCCACCTTTGGTCCTAGGAGACTTCAGAGAGGCCGGCTAGCACCAAAACGGGGAATTGGTGGGTAGGCAAGCCGAATCCCTCCACCCCCATTTTGGTCCTAGCAGGCCTCCCTGAAACCTCCTGGAACCAAAAATGGGGCGCGACCCCCCCACCTGCATCACCACCACCCTCCATGCATGCATGTGCATTCCCCCCCTCCCATGAATGCACACACGATCCCCCACCCCGAAAATCAGCTGGCTGGTGGGAGACATGCGCACAGGAGCTTACCTAGGCGATGGCTCGCGTGCCCGCAGAGATGGCTCCGCATGCCACCTGCGGCACACACCTGCCACAGGTTCGCCATCACGGCCCTAGACTGTTTTAGACAAATGGTTGTCCAGTCACTTCTTAAAAGCCTCCCAATGTTGGAGCATCCACAAAGCCTGAAGGCAACTTGTTCCAAAACTAAAATGGGCATCCAATTTGCAATCTGAAAGAGTCCATTCCACTCTTAAGCCGTTTAATCATGGATTATTTGGGAGGCCCCATTACAGGTAGACTCTGGCTTACAACCACAATTGGGTTCAGTCCCTTTAAAATGAATGGATAAGAATTTCACGTTACTGCAAAATAGCCATGTAAGGGCAGGAGGGCACCCTTGGCACCAACCTCCTCCCGTTTATTCCCTTTCATGGCGCTTTTGAAATCTGAACTATTTCTGTCTGAGAACAGCGCAGAGCGTTTTACTGCATGCCGATTCTTAAAATACATCTGGAAAAATTCCCTAAAAGAGCCCAGGCTGGCAAAACACACACACACACACACAAAACCACCCCACCCCAAAACCTTATTTCTAACGGATAAGAGAACAGGCGTTTTTATGTAGCCTCTTGAATGCAGAAATACTACTGTAGTGCTGGGTGGGGAATTAGGTTACTCGTACCCGTGCATGAATGACAAAGGGAACTCTTTCCAAAAAGTCTGCATCAGGTTTTTTTTTAACCGCTGGAATGGGGAGCAGAAATCAAGAGTCGGATGAAGTTGAAATTAACCCTCAAGATTTTATTTATTTGCCTTTTGTGTTCCTAAACCTCCCTCCCTCAATTCTAGGGCAAAAATCAAACAGCAAACAATACTATTTACTACTTTGATACTGTTCTCCAATCAAGGAACCACCTACTCAGATAAACAAACAGTAGACAAGTGTCTAATTAAGGAACCAAGACACTCCTACAACATTGCTAAAGCAGGGAGCTATTATATAAACAGAGCAAAACTCTCTCTCTTCTAGCACTGATCATGTTACCTAGTTGGGTGATGAAACGTCTTCAAAACAGCCAAGCTCAGAGAGCAGCAAGGACCAGTCTCTTTCTCCTCTTCTCCTGGCACTTACAACCACTGTAGCATCCTCGGTGTCATGCGATCAAAATATGGGTGCTTGGCAACTGGCGTGCGCAGCTGGTCCTCCATTGTGGTAGACCACAATGAAGCCCACAATTTATGTTGATAAGTAAGAATTTGCTAAGTGAGTTTTGCTCCCATTTTGACTTTTCTTGCCACACTCGTTCCGTGAAATCATTGCAGTTGTTCCATTAATAACAGTTAAGTGAACCCTGTTTCCCCAGTGACTTTGTCAGGTTGCAAAAGGGGATCACGTAACNGTTGGTCCAACATTTCCACTAAGCATAGTCACCATTAAAAAAACTAATGTGCATTTGCCTTGAACTAGGAGGATGGAGATAACTAACATCATCGATCAGAGATACTTGGCTGACTGACCCTGCAAAGTGGCGCTCAATGATCTGGAAAGCGGAGCCTGCACCTGCAGGAATGCGCTAAGAAGAAGGTCGAGCAGGTACCTGGCTGGATCTGACAGGCAAGGGCAGGATCTGTTCTCTCTGGCCTTAAATGCAAGCCAAAAAGGACGGATCCAAGATACAGGAATCAATGTGAAGCCAAGCATGCACAGCTTAGCTGGCTTTCCAAAGGGGAACCCAGGCGGGTGGGCAGGAAAC